CTTCGTTATTCCAACAATGCCAAACCAAGAACTGCAAATATAACAACAGTATGGCTCTGTGGTAGAAGCATAGACTGTATATACTATAGAGAACTTGGTTCCACCTTCTGTCATTATACGAATTTGAAGCCGAATTGTTCCCGGTATTTCCAGGATTTTCTCCCCTGAACCATTACTTGCACAGTAGAGTTGCAAGCATTCGGCGGGAGAGTCGCCAAGAGTCGCTGTGATGACACTTAAACAGAGCAACAGCGTTAGCTATGCAATCTCAGTACGCCCATAGGCTGTATCAAGTTTCAATCATAGAAAACATGAAACCCCTAATAACTTTTAAAAAAGGAGATGCACAGAAAAAAGAGGACTTGAGCACAAACCAGTCTTACTGTAACTACATGTCAACATCGCAAGCAGGGGGGAAAAAAAATTATATTCTGTGAATTAATTTCTAAAGTTTGTCCACAGCGCCATAGGGATTGCTGGAGGAGGCGGGATTTATGACCTATACTGCAGCCCGTCACCAGAGGGTGCTGTTCTCGCGGTGGCTTTACCCACCGAGGAGGCAGGCAGTGTCCATTCTATATACAGATATGGGTAGAAGAATCCAGGTGCTGAATTGGCCTTCCTGCAGTCCTGACTTGCCACACATTAAAAATATTTGGATGAGGTGATGAAACACAGAAGTAAACATGTTCCTGTCTCAGGTGTTTTGAATCATTTTTCTGGCATGAAATTTACAATGAGTCCTATTTTTCTTTTTCATGAACATTTCACACAACTTCTTTGAAATTAGGGTTAAAAACAACATTTTCAAGACCATCCTTTACAATTAAGAGCAATAAAGCAGGTTAATTTTATCCGTGGTTCAGCAGAGTAGATCTGAGAGCAGACCGCTGCTACATGAACCTGCTCTCATCCTGCATCCTTTCAGTTTATCAAACACTGAGTGAGTGATGTGTGATGTAGACAGTGCTGCGTTCAGGATCAAGCAGCTGTGATTAAGGGGATTTGAGGGGATTTCATGGATTACCCACTCCAACATTTGTGTATGAACAGCTGAGTGTCACAGGTTGTGTGTACTATCATGACCGAGTCCTTTCACTGCACAGAGTGGATTAAGTGATCAACACATCGGCACAGAAAAACAGCTCCTGTCTCCGATCTGTAATTGAATTTTCAGACATTTTTCCTTCAGTGAAGAGGGTTTTTTTATGTAAGAGCTGCAGAAAAAAAAACATTTCCAGGGATGCTTTAGTGGAATAAAATCAATGACAGAGACAACAGGCTTGATCTTACAGTGTTTAGTATCACAGTATAGATGTGTCTGCTATTTGAAGCATACAAAGGTGTGATTTTAATATAAATAGTATGTTTCTTTTAAAGGGTTTGCTTTGTGGTTGGTTGTCTTTCTCTCCTTATTTCTCTGCAGTTTATAGTGTAATTGAAATTATTGATTATGTATCCAAGGCCATGTGTAGTAGCTGTGCTGTGAATTCTTTATAACTCTGTGAACTCTGTGATCTATAAAGCCAAACTTTTTTTTTTTCTGAGAAACTGAAACACTCATCCAATGGAAATCATGTGACATTATGAGTTTCAGACTGTGGCCAAAAGAGGTGAAATTCTGATATTGTGACAGACTGAACTGCGTGATTCAGGATATCATTTTTCGTACGCTGAAGCTTAAAATGTGTCAGTTGTTATTATATACTTTAAGCTTCTCTGTGAAGTCTCTTTAAAAAGTTAGAAATGAGACAGAAACTGATGAGTCTCTTTGACATTCAAAAACAAACAAAAGCTAATTAAATAAGCGACATCTCTTATTCATATCACCATTTAATGGGTTAGATGTAGGATTAACAATCAAACAAAAAACTTTGATCTGCATCCACTAACTAATGCTTACTTTGCTCCAGGAGGAGTTCTTCTCTTACAGCCAGTTAATTGCAAAGAAAAGATGTGGCAGGACAACAAATTTAATCAAGATCAGACTCTTCATGCTGATTGACAAATTCGCGTCTCCTGAATTTGCGCAAATAACTCACTCAATTTGCACGATTCACACCACCCAATCCACACAATTCGTGCACCCAGAGTAGTATGAGCATCTAATCACATCACATGTAACTGATTCACGTGAATTAGTCTACTCGCACTTCGTGTGAACACCCCATTCGTTTTCTTATTGCATTAAATGTGCTTCGATCAATGACACGTCTCCAAAATGACTCTATCACTTGATTGTTCCAAACTTAGTCCAGCGTTTTGGTTTCTGTGTGTTATTCAGTCGTGCAAGTTGAAAGTGAAGTATCTGAGCAGTTACAGATGATGATATAAAGACATTCCTGAAAGCTGTATGATCCTGAGATGTAGAAAAGTGTCTGAATTCATGCTACCAAAGTGGCTGTCAGTGTTTTTGCTCAACATCAATCACCTGAAATGATGCCATGTGAAATATTTAGACCACCTGTCACTAAAGAATCAAACTGACGCCCTCACAGCTGCAACACGACTGTCTTCAAAATTAAATCCTGCCTGTCTGGTTCTTCATCACTCTATCGAGAAATCCATGTGAGAGTGTGAAGCAAAGTTTACTCCCTTCTTCTCACATGAACACAGCGGCTCCACCGGGCAGCCCTGTGGCTCCGCTCTCGCAGCAGTGTCTCACACATCACTGCGTGTCACCGAGACAGATAAATGACCTGATTTGAAAACACAGTCGTACCATATAAGACCAGACTTTCACACCATGAGCTGCTCCACATTATTGATTCATGTGTGAGACACATCTGCACATGCCAAACATAGAACTGCTGTTAGTGATGTCTTCCTCACAAGCAGGTCTGCTCACAGACTCAGCTTCTTAAGGTGAACAGCGTGAGTCTGCTTTCAGCTATGAGCCAATTTCCCTTTTTTGAATTTTTTTTAAATTTATTTATTTGATTATTTATTAGTTTATTTCACAGGGACAGTGTACCACTAATCAATAGTGTGTAAAAGAAAACTGCAAGTGAGCCAAAGTTAGCCAACAAGGCTTGTTTTTGTCTGTTGTCCCTGGCCAGATGTTAAAGGCACCTAAAAACCAAAAAGGGGGCAACAATTAAGTTCTTTAAAACACACCTTTACATAACAATCTACCAAATAAAAGCTCTTAATAACTTGTAAAAAAGGTAAGAAGTCTGACATATGGCGTAACAAAAGCTTATGGATAACACTAGCATGCAGACATAACATGTAGACAGGGAGAAGAAGAGTGAGAGAGAGCGAGAGAGGAAAATACAGCCAGATACACACACGCAAGTACTGTGGCACACAGTGCAAAGATTACAAGGCAGGGCATAAGATGGTAAGCATTAGGCAAAAAACAAGAAAACAACCAGAGTAAAAGAAAATAAAGAAAGCAGGACAAGAAGCATTGAGAAACAGCACAAATAATATGATAAGTGATTTATATGATTAGTGATTACATGATTGATTAATGGAGTTTTTCTTTTTTGTTTTGGTTGATCCCATAATGAGAAGAACATTATGCAACTTAATTTTTTAAAAAAGAGTTAAAAGATGGTGCAAAAAGTTGACTCAAACTCATTTTGATGTTTTGCAACAGATCAATGTTGAAACTGAAAGCGTGTTATCAATTTGTTGAAAATTAAATTCTCATTTTATGTTACATAGCATCCCAACTTTATTTTTTCATTCAATAAAACATTGATACTTTGATGAAAGTGTTGGTGAGTTTTTAGGAACTGGGGTCTCTCCTAATTTTCTGAATTGACAGTATTACTAATCAAATTTCTGTACACATTGATTAATTAATTAATTAATTAATTAATTGTTAAATATGCAACAGCATAGCACATGCCTTTGGGAGTTAAAAAGGCTTTCATGAAACGGAGAGTCAAATAATCCTTGTCAGTATAAAGAGCTGAAAATCCGTCTCTGCCTGATGGACAATGATGGAAACTTCGATTAAGTTAAAATGTGATTCTGTATCTGTGGTATGTTGCAGCAGCAGCAGCAGCAGCCGTTTCCATGAAACTGATGACAGTGTTTGGACATGTGTTTCAATCTGCAGCATCATGAGTGGCTTAAGTCTATTTTACTCCTGTCAACACCCGCTCTTTTGTTTGATTGGGTGAGTCATGGAGAGCAGAGCACTGTGACCTGCTGGACTAACATTGGTTCGAGTCAATCTGTTTCAATTAGTTCTCATAACTAATGAATGGTGAGTGGTTTTCTTGCTCTGATTACCACAGTGATGTAATGCTGTTTCTTTTTAGACCTCTAATACATGTCATGAACAATATTATACATCGCTTTCTTATCTTGTTCTCTGCTAAAGGTTAGCATTAATGCTTTCCTTGGAAACAGTCTCCTAGCAACCTGCCAGTCTTTGACAGTCCTTATTTGAGGTAATTACAGTGAAGAAGGTGCGTCTACTGCAGGAATGTGTCCTCCTGTTCTGTGAATTAAAAACATCTCTCACATGTCAGTACAGCCATGTAAAGCAGATTGAAAGCATTTGATAAACCGACATCTGTGGTGGAAACCAGAAGATTAATTTTTGCAGATTTCAACAGGTTTTGCCTTTAACAGCTTGTTCCATACATCTGTTGACTTTGCTTTAAATGTCAGTGTTTGTGGCCTGAGGGAAAATGAGAGAAAGACTGCTGAATGCACTCGATCATCTGAACTTTTTTTGAGGAAATTCAGCATGTTAGCATCCATTTACCAGCTGTTATCATTGAGATGATGTTCTCCGAATTACAGGGATAAACACTGACGCCCTGTGAAATAATTACTCTTTCTCACCTGCTCAGGCTCCTTGAAGCTCTACTTTGAAGTAGCTAGCAAGCCATGTGATTATTTTTGTGTAAGAAAAACCTAGACACATGTTTCTTTAAGAGCTGGGCATTGTTCAAAGCCGTATCCTATCCCCAGCACAGCACCATAACACTATGAATCTGCAGTTAGAGCTTAAATATGTGTGCTACAACATTTGTAAGAAATAATATACTGTATTTTATTTCAAAGCTATAAAGTTTGTCAAAGGTCTTTAAAAGATGCTAAAACCAAATATTTCTCCCTGATTACAGAGTTCCTGTCAACATTTACCTACTCATGCAAGCTGTGCAAATCAATGTATTGCATCATGGGTCAAAGAGTCTCATGTGAAATCATTTAGAAAAATCCAACTACAAATAAACCTGCTCCTTGTTAAGCTTGCATCACACTGACTCCCACGCAGATACCACTGACCTCAACCTTGGTGACCTTAATCAGTATTTAAGAAAAAATAAACATGAATTTAATTCAGACCTGACCGGAGAGAGAGTAATTCTGTCATTTTCTGTAATAACAACACCTATGCATTTTGCCAGAACAGAGAGAGAGCGACCATATTTGGTGCCAAATCTGCCAGATTGTCTGGTTTTTATTCTGGATGTTCCTACAACTATCTGTGGGGAACCATGGCTGTTTCTGATGAGGCCTGTCAGTGATAACTAGGGTTGTTACACAGCATTATTATTTCCAGTGTTTAAATGTAGCTCCAGCGTAAGTTCAGTCAGGGAGACTATGTTTGCTTACACAGCTGCTTCTTTCCCACTCTCATGCTCACTCACTTTCCTGCTGTCATTAATCAGAGGAGTCATTTGTTAATCAGCCATTCATCAGTAACATGGTAACTCACCCTCTCTGTCAGTCTATCACCATTCTGATCTATTTTTTTAAAAATGAAATTTTCTCGGTCTCTGATTCTTTCATGTTGTTGGTACATGCACACCCTCCACCTCCCCATCTTCAATCGGTCTCCGCAGAATTATCAGTTCAATACTTCATTCTCCTGGTCCCACCAATCATCAGCCACTACCACCACCACCAGCTTCAGGACTCCATGGGGGAATTTTCCTGCCGCTGCAATGATCAGTCATCCTAGGATGACCCCTAAACACCCAGAAGCCCAAAAATGTGCCTGATTTAATTAACATTGGTTTTCTCTGTTTTTCTTTTTCTGAAACATTTCAGTCCTTAGAGTACTAAGATGAAAAAATACATATATAAAATGTCACTCTGTTGTGTTACTGTTTAACGCAAAAAAGTAATCTGTATGATATTTAAATGCTGGCCGAAGCATTTAAGTCTGAGTCCAACCACTCTCATCAAAGACAGTTATCATTTTCATGCAGTAAGTTATATTTTGCAGTATGGCTCTGCTCTGAGAGCTCTCTTTACTTCCATGTGCTTACATTGGATGCTAAACTAAAGCAGGAAGAGCACATCTCTGCTCTCTTTCATATGCATAAATTAAAGGCCAAAGCAAGGGGAGCAGCAGCAAAGACCCCCCAAGGTATAAAACTGAGTGACAACTTGTGTGACACTGATAAAATCAGCTGCAGCATATTAAGGACTAGCTGCATGGAGGTGGTTTACAAAGTAGTTTTCAGCAGAAGGCAGGCTAAAACAGATTTTTTTAAAAAAACATACTTGTTTGGACATTTCCAATTGGATCCATAAAAGTCAGGTGATCAAAAGTCGATCATTGACTTTGTGGCGTGCCTAAACTTTTGCTATGCTCAATTCAGGGTTGGCAGAGATGGAATATTTTGTTGTGTGTCCGTAAATCAGTCAGCGCTCCAGTTTGGTCCCCCAATAACAAAAGTCTGGACATGCCCCTATGCATGAGCAATGCAGCAGTATATGCATAAATCTTGAGATCATAAGTTCATGTGTTCACGTTTTGGCTGCAGCACTGAGCTAATGTACCTGTGCCAACATACTGTACACAGCAGATTCCCAAACTCTGATCAACCTTGTTGAGAACTTTGTGAGACGTGCTGCACTTTGAACCACTGTTATCTGTCAGGCTAAGTTTACTGGCACCAAGTTTGTGATAATGCAAGTTTATCATTCAATATGTCATGCCCTGTTGTCGGATTAAACTCACTCTTTAATATGCATTTGAGATATTTGCAGCCAAACCTCCCAGGTTTCCTAACATCCAGATTTTTAGCAGTTATTTGGTTTAATTTGGTGGAAAAGGTTTGAAGATTTGTGGCCTAAAAGTCAAATTTGTTGGTATTTTAACAACATAAAGGAGGATCTTCAGGATCACTTCTGTAAATGTGTCGTCTGATTAGACATCCTCCCTCTCTCCACCTCTACTTAAATTTTAATCGACCCTTTTGAGGTGAACCATGCTTTCCGTGTTTTTAGCATTAGCCTCCTCATTGCTCAGTGGCCACGCGTGTTTGGCATGCTCTCCATCTCTCTGGTAAATGATTCAAAACTACATGATCAAAGTCATTTCGAAGATCTGGTCGGTGGTTCGGGTTCGCATGGTAGACAGCACACTCTTGTGCTCCTGGCACGCTCCCTGTTCTCGTAACATCCACGCACTCACCGCCAGCAGAAACCAAATTTGTGGATTAACTTCGGATTTACATCTCAGATTGTGGCACCTTTGGAGGGGAAGTGTGAGCGATACCACCTCGCATTTGAAGAAATCATTAACAATTAAGAGCGGGAGAAAGGGATGACTCCAAATGGTTGCAGAGCAGCACGGAAGCAGCATCGCCAGCTGAAATAGTAATGTGTTTTCCTGTGTAGCTGTCAGCTCTCTTATCTCGGATCCTTTGAGTGGCGAGGACTTGACGTGGGATTCCAACAATGCGGATAATGTTCTATTGCTGCACTCAGGAGCCGTTAATGGGAAAATTCATCCTAACACAGATCCCACATATGTTATTCCTGTGTTATTCCACATTTGCATCCACATTGTTTTGAGACTTTACCATTGAATCCTTGGAAGAAAAGGCCTCTCTGTCTGATGACAAGATGTACTTTCTGTGCATTAAGGAGTTCTGCTGTGTGATCTGAAGATAGGCTCTAATGTATTCTCTCTGCTTTTCGGGTACACTCAGGCCCAAACGACAGATAATTCATATTTTAAAATATTCTGTAGCAGCTTCAATCTTCAGGTTAAAAGGTTAGAGGGTCATAAATCAGACATACACTTTATATTTAGTCTTTTTTCTCAGAGGCAGCACTCTGCACTCCCCTCGCTCTCCCAATCTGCTCATGTTTTAAACATGTCACCCTTCACACTGCGTCTTCATCTCGCGTGTTCCCCAGGCATACATTGAGAAATCCAGATCTATGTTTTGTTTCTGTCAAATGTTTTTCTCCAGGGCAGAGTTTGGGCAGCCTGATGATTTAGGATGTGAGGAGGAGAGACGTCGGGTCCTTGAGCACACTTAATAGTGTCTCCACAGGCCTGTGGTGATGTTGTAAAGGAGATGTGTTAAGTCTTAAACCTGTGAGGAACTCCATGGTTACAAAAGCTGCTGCAGATTGGAAATATGATTTGTTGTCTTCCTGCAGACACTTTAACAGACTTCGCCACCATTTGGTAAAGCTTTCTCAAATCTGGTTAGAGCTTACTGAACACAATTATGCTACATAAAGCCCTGAAGAGTTACACATTTGCATTGTCTTTAATCGTGAAAGAGGAAAATTCACAAAATCATAGACATCAGCCACAGAGAGCGCCATGAATCATGCATCACTTGCAAACACGATCTCATTATTGTGCTTATGATATTATGGCGCAAACACGTTCTTTGCCCTTATTATGCGTCTGATTTTGGAGAATATCCGTCAACACTTCCACACTCTGCTGCTGCCCAGGATCATTTCAACTCTCATATAGATGAACTGCTGAGAGGGAAGGGGCGGACTTTTTCTGGCTAAAATATTAAGCCAAGTCTTGACAGATTTGAAACTCTTTTTTCTTTTTTTCTTTTTCTCCATAGCAAAATTTGGGGTCATACAAAGGTGACACTAATGCTCTACTCAAAGGGATATTTTAGTACTTTAGTACGTAAGGGGCTTTCTGATGGCAAAGTACTGAAAAGATTCTCAGTAGAGCATACATGTAAACTAGGATGAGTGTTTGAGTCAGAGCCTGTCAAAATCAGCTAAGTTACATGATAGACTAGGCCTAGTCTGCAGAAAACTCATATAAACCTGATGGACCCCTCAGGTCTTCAGGTAGTGGTCTTTTGATTGTTCCCAAAGTAAAAACAAATCAAAGTGAATCCTCGTTCCAATATTAAGGGCCCGATCTGTGAAACAGTCTACCTGCAGACCTGAGAGCAGCAACTATTGTTCATATTTTCAAGTGTAAACTCAAGACCTACCTTTTTAGTCTGGCTTTTAGCGGATTTTTGTTTTAACCTCTTAATCTGCATTATGTGATTTACTCCCTGATTTAACTGTCTGAAGATGTTGATGATTTTACCTCCCACTATGCAGGCCTTCAAACTTTTGTGGCTGCTTTTGAGAAATTCACAGTATCTTCTTTTTGAGGACGAGTGTCCACAAAAGCAACACAGTCTCATCATCCTTCTATTCAACCTGTGGTGTTGGAAGTCCTGCCATTAACTCATTTAGCTTGGCCTTGAGACAGCTGAGGTCCATTATCAACATGCCATGGATCAAATTATATAAGAACAAAACTATTTAGTGTTAGAAAAGGGTCAGCGGTTGTCCTAGAAGGCCACACAGAAGTAGAATAAAAGGCCTCAGGTCAGATAAAGCATGGCTTATGAGATATGGTTTTGATGTGTCGATAAATACATTACAGCAAAAACCACTATCATTACAGGAACTGATTGGATGTACGCTCTAGTTTTATTTGGCAGGGTAGCACCTTACTGAGATCCCAGTGCTTACGTAGACTGCAGAGCCCACAGCAGGGAGAGCACACCTCCTCTCTGTTTCAAGTGTGTACATGAAACATTGAGGCAGGGAGAGCAGCAGAAACCCCAGAACAAAACAGAGCAAACAATATTTGACAGAACATTTGACACTGGTAAGATCAGACACAGCATAAAAAGGAAGAGCTGGGGTGGAGGTGGGTTTTAAAATGAGTTGCATAGGGAGCAGCAAGAGGAGACCGGAGGAGTAGTTCAAACAGAAACCCTATTTTGACATTTGTCAACTGGATTTGAGAGAGCCGATCTGTCAGCTGGTATGGGCTGCAGGAAGGATCAGCTGACTTACGATGGGCTGAGCTTAATTTGGTGTCGTGCCTGAACTAATAAACGTGTGAACCTGGTGCTGGAGCCAGACTGAATTTCAAGAGGGTCTTGACATTTGGATACATCTGAGAATGTACCAGTTCCAAAGAAAACCAGATGAAGAATGATGGGATGTTTGAGTCGGGACCAATCAGCAAACGAGACAGGTTTTAGGCCGGTGATGACAACAGCTCCACTAAGTGAGGAAAGTTAAGTAGCAATCAGCTGCACATAACTTTTAAAACAGTGACCCATATTTAACAAAAGATTTCACTCCTCAATCAGTGCGTTAACAGGATGGGAGGACTCTTGCAGAGCCTGTGTCAGATGCTGCAGGACGGTGATAAAAAGCGATTGTCACGGTCTGGAGTTAAATAAAAAAGGAAAGGACCCACATAAAGAACAAAAAAAGGATTGTTTAAAAACAATAAACTAAAAGAGCAACAAAAACAGAAAAATCTAAAAGGCAAAGTCCACAATAACGGCGCATTTGAAGTGTGAGTGATGTCATCACGCGGCGCGTACAGTGTCCCATTTGGCTCGAAACGCGCTTCAAATTCGGTCTCAAAACCACACTACCCCCGCCCCTTTTTTAAGCATGCATTTATGTGTGCTTTCATGGCCTTGGTATCCCAGAATTCTTTGCGTGCCGCTGCACAGCTGCGCATTTCGGGTGAGAGGCCAGACTCACTTGGAGACGCAGCGTGTCTTTAAAGAAAATACAAGAAATCCAAAACCAGCAGACAGTCAGCTCAGGCTGCATGAGCGCATGATCTTTTAACTCACTTTAATCTACAAACCAAACATTATACTCTTTAGAAAAGAACTGATCCACTCTGCTACAACAATCGAAAACATTAGAAATAAGAAAGCTAACAAAACTACAGCAGAGGATCAGGACAACATTGAGTTTTTTTTCAGTTTTTTTATTGAGACTTAGAGATTAAAGTTGTAAACTTGGGAGAATAAAGACATAAAATAAATAAACTCATGAAGCTGCTTTTGTGGAGGGGGAAATGGCTGGAACTGGTCATCTGCAGGGTTATCTGTGGATGTATCAGTGGGTCATTCAGAGAGTTTTTGTGGTTTCTGAAGAAACAATCCATCTGATGATCAACATTTGTGATCCAGAGGGAGTCGAGCTCCAACGAGCACCACGTGTCTGACACCGGCGGTAGCCTACACCTGCAGAGAAACCAACACCTTATTATGGCATCTGGATTCATATCATGAACTAAAGCTCAATGCCATTCACGGGTATTTACAGCTGCATTGACAGATATATCCTCAGCATATCCATATCTGCCTCCACAAAAGCAGCGATTTCCTTCAAGTACACCAGTTTTTTTTTTCCGTGGAAAATATGTATTTCTCATATGTTCTTTTTTAAGTCTAAGTTTTTAAAACTCTCCTTGTTTGTGAAACCTATACTGAAGCACAGTTTCTTCAAATGCTCTATGGCCCTAATTTTAACAACTCTTCTTTGAAATAATAGGTAATCTTTCGACTTTATTCTAATTAATGACTTTATTCTCATAAATTCACGACTTCAATCTCAAAGTCTTTAAAAAAAAATCTGAATATGGCCCTCATACTTCTTCATAAAAAACATGCAATCATTGGATGAATTTTGTGAAAATGATCTGTGCTTGTATGTATCTATTGTTTTGTGTCTGTGCAAAGTCGCACAATTAAAAAATAAATGCTGTGCTCCGCAGCTTTTCTTCAAGTCAGATGTGACACGAGCCTGAGGGCGGGGACATTTGGCGACTTAACCAGGAAGTCCTCCGAAGGGTAGTCTGTCCCATTTCACAAAAAACGGACCATTGCTGCATCCGAATTGCCAAGTAGTAGTCAAAGTAGTAGTCGAAGTAGTATGTAGCATGTCCGAATTGGCCACCGGGGCGAGTAGCATCCTACTTCAGATACTACTTCAGATACTAGACACGCCCACGTTGTAGGATGGTCGCAATGCATCCTACGGGCATGCTACTGACCCAAAATGCACCGCGGGCTTCTTCTTCGTCCTCTTAAAAGTTGTAGAAGCGCATGTGATGCTCATAGACATAATAAAGGATAGACCCCGCTGGGGGTGCTGCGCGGCGAGAAATGCGGCCGCCATCTTGGTCAGGTCAAGCTTCCCATACGCTCCGGTCAATCATATTCATTCATCAGTCATTCAGCGATGCCGGAGCACTGTGCGGCGTATTCCTGTGCCACCAGGCGGACAGCAGAGAGCAGGGCTAGAGGAATAACTTTTCACAGGTAGGATTAAACATTTTTTTCAACATTACACTTGACTGTAGAGTCATTTGTAGGCCAAAGAGGAAGACTATCGGTCAACTTCAAAAACGAAACAGCATTTGCTAACAGTTAGCTTATTCACCATAATAGCAACTTTGCTCCATTATCAACAGATTTGCATTAGATTGAAAAACTTTTGTTTGAGAGAGGTTCTAAGAAACGTTAAGAAATAAAAGAGAAAGAAGAAGGAAGAAAGTGAGCTCTGTTATCTGTTTTATTAAAGATTTCTTTGTGGTGATCTCCTGTTTCATTTTGAAGATTTCCTAAGGACAAAAATTTGAGGAAGAAGTGGGAGATTGCTGTAAGGAGGGAGAAATTCACAGCAAGGGATTCCTCTGTGCTCTGCAGCCAACATTTTAAGGAGGCAGACTTTGACAGGACGGGACAGGTTGTCCGCATCCGAGATGGCGTTATTCCGTCCGTCTTCAAGTTTCCAGGTCACCTCCAAAGAGTAGGTGCATCACAATAAAGTTGTTTTATTCTATTGATTACATGGCATGAATTACTTATTGTGATTCCCTCTCTATCTATCTATCTATCTATCTATCTATCTATCTATCTATCTATCTATCTATCTATCTATCTACCTACCTACCTACCTACCTACCTACCTACCTACCTATGTCTTTCTGTCTTGTCTTTATTTTTATTTTTTTATTTCATTTCAGGCATGTTGGGTGGTTTATAAAACACCCAGGGTATCAGACAATTTTATTTCATTATCTAGTTTGTTCCAAAGCCTCACCCCGTTGAAAGAGATAGTGAAGGACTTAATGGTGGTTCTTGCCACTTTTCCTCTTCATTTTAGCCAGAAAAAAGCAGGAACACATCTGCCTCCAGAAAATCTGAGGCAAGCCTGTCTGAGACTCCTCAGGATAACTCAGTGGCCTCAACCTCACATTCTGAATCTCAGCCTGAAGATGTGAGTATTTCAATTTTACCCATAAGCATGTCATGATGGTTTTAGAGACTGGTAGCGGATTTGACAACTGATGACTTTTAGAAATAATGCGAGCCCATCTGTGTGATACAGCTAGTAAAACATAACTCAAACAATGCTCATCTCTCCTTTTCCTAGGATCACAGCTATGTAATGCCTTCCTCCCCAACCGCTTTAAAGGCCAGACTCACCGGAGCTTTGGAAAGAGTCGATAAATTGGAGCGAGAAAAAAAGAATGCCAAGGCACGTGAAAAGAGGGCGAAGACAACCGTGAAGAGTCTTCTATCACAATTATGTGAAAAGAATCTCATTAATGAAGAGCTCAAGGACAGACTTGAGCAAATTGTTATGTAGTTTAGGTGCTGTCCTGTCATGCTGTTCTTGTGTTTAAATTTTTTTGATATGTAGGCTATATATTTGTGTGTATTTCTCTGTGTGTATTTTCCTGTTATTAAAATAGTGCTTCTATATGACATTATTTGTGTGTGTCTACAAATGGATAAATAAAATTAAACTAAATAAAATATAATCAAATCAATATATATTGAATTAGCCTATTAAAACCGCAAGTTATTAATAATTATTGAGACATAGCAGGAACCTATCTCTAAACCTAGATATATCCTTGATTAATTGTTATACTATACTACAGCCACTGCTGCCATGTTCTAATATATCATTTTATTCATTCTGAGTATTTGAAAACGCCAAAAAAAATATGGCCTCTATCATGCCTCTTTGAATGGCGTTTGCAGAGAAGAAAATTAGGTAGTATTGAGCGAACTATGATTCATTTAATGCGCTCAGACTTCATTCCGCCGGTTAAACAGCGGTGCAGAGTGAGGCGGATGACCGGACCAAGATGGCGGCCGCGTTTCTCGACAGCGCCCATTCGTGGTAGCGGCCGATGCGGGGTCTATCTTTTATTATGTCTATGGTGATGCTAGCGCCACCAGCTGCTGCCTATTTAGATGTGTCGCGAACGCCGGCTGGCCACAGCAGCGCGCACCATGGCGGAGCAGCAGCAGCAGCAGCAGGCGGGACCGCAGCAATACAGATGTAAGTTTCATGTAACTTCGCACACTGTCCTAAAAAATGTTCGGTTGTATCTCTTTGTCATGTCATGGTGTCATATTTGCCCAAGTAATCATTTTATGAGCAAATATGCGGCGACATCACGGAGGTAAAGCTCACTTATTCCATCATTAAACTGCACAGCAGCAGTAATCAGGCAGATCTCATTGAACAAACTTTCACCACGTGAGTGAATGAAGGCTAAAAGTAATGGAAAAGCTACTTTGTGAATTTCTAAAGCAGTGCAGGAATATAATACAGCAGCATCCATCACTTGCACAATTACCATTCAAAGAGTCTAAAACGGGCGCAGTACCTACTCTCTGCCTGCAGGGGTCGTCTTTCCCCACCGCTCGTCTAGTGTGTCCTAATTGGGCCAACGTGTTTAGTATGTAGGAGTAGGATCTAGCAGTAGTATGTTGCAGTAGCATGTAGTATGCGAGCGGGCAATTCGGACACAGCACATGTCACTCAGGGTACTCAAGTCCACATAACGGCAGTGCGCTCAGCTAAACGCACTTGAGCGTGCTCAGTCTGATGCGGTCTCTGAAATGAGACACAGCCAGTGAACCAGCCAGGACAGAGGGGAAGACAGGAGCTGCGTCCAAATTGCCAAGTAGGAGTCGAAGTAGTATCTAGCATGTCCGAATTGGCCACCGGAGCGAGTAGCATGCTACTTCAGATACTACTTCAGATGCTAGACACGCCCACATTGTAGGTTGGTCTCGGTGCATCCTACGGGCATGCTACTGACCCAAAATGCACCGCGGGCTTCTTCTTCGTCCTCTTAAAAGTTGTAGAAGCGCATGTGATGCTAGCGCCACCAGCTGCTGCCTATTTAGATGCGTCGCGAACGCCGGCTGGCCACAGCAGCGCGCACCATGTCGGAGCAGCAGCAGCAGCAGGCGGGACCGCAGCAGTACAGATGTAGGTTTCATGTAACTTCACACACTGTCCTAAAAAATGCGCGGTTGTATCTCTTTGTCATGTCATGGTATCATATTTGCCCAAGTAATCATTTTATGAGCAAGTGGCGACATCATGGAGGTAAAGCTCACTTATTCCATCATTAAACTGCACAGCTGCAGTACTACAGCCAGGCCCGCAGATGAGGGGCTTCAGTTACCACTGTCTGCACGGGCGCAGTACCTACTCTCTGCCTGCAGGGGTCGTCTTTCCCCGCCGCTCGTCTAGTGTGTCCGAATTGGGCCAACGAGTTTAGGATGTCGGAGTAGGATCTAGCAGTAGCACGTAGCAGTAGCATGTAGTATCCGAGCGGGCAGTTCGGACGCAGCAATAGACTTTACACACACACTGGGAAACGAGCAACAGGTGAGGCTAACGAGACACAGGTGAGGTAAATGAGACACAGGTGAAACTCATTAGTGATTGACAAAGGAGGGAAAACTAGGGCAGTAAAACCAGACTAGAAACACAAGGAATCAACTACTACAAAATAAAACAGGAAACACTGAAAACTGATCTAAAGAATAAAACACTGAGAACAGGAGGGAAACAGGGTCAAACACAAACTGAAAACTCACAGGACAGGACTACAGGAACAATAGGAAACAGATATGCTAGGGAAAATACACAAAGAACATACACTCGGATAACAAAACCAGGGGAAAACTAAATACCAGAACATATCATGACAGCGATAAGTAAAAAAGGTAGTGAATCACTAAATTATACAAAACATATCTATGTTTTCTGCAGTGCAGAAATAATAGGGCCCTATGATTTTTTATTACAACCATAGTTCACCTGTTATGCAGTTATGCAGAAGGTGTCTCTCTAAGGATAGTGATGAATGTTGCTCAGCTGTTGCCAAAAAAGTGCAAAGGATTTTTTCTACTTTCTCTGTCTTTTTCTGGATGGGCACACTGAGAGATGAAACACAACAGTACATCAATTGATGCTGCGATAATCTCACTTTTAGTACAGGATGAATAGTTTACATACCAGGAATTTTAATGGTTTATTTTTGTGGACATTCAAGATTGCTCTTTATCTCTTTCATTCCTGATTTGCATCTACTACACACACACTGGAGATTCTTTCATACTGTAGGCAACCTCAAAATTATATATTACCATTTGGCTGTTGTTTTTGGCTGTGTGTGCATGCGCTTTCAAAACCATCAGCCCCGGGCCGGGATCCCAGAGGAGATAAGGGATGAAGAATAGATGGCATTCTGAGCTCTCAAGCCTCACGCACATGTTTTTATTTTTACCTCCAGACTCCTCAGGAGCCATCTGTTCAAACATTTAAAGAATACCTTGCTCTCGCCAGTCACAGAGAGTAGAGCTGCTTGACCAGCAAACATTACGAGTGTGCTGTCGAGTAAATGCAGCTCCCAAGATAGAAGGGCAAAGAGATTTGCTTGAGACTAAACCAGGAAATAAAAGTCGACTGCTTTAAGGAATTTATCTGGAGGAACACACACAACCACAGTGGCTAAGACAGAGACGAACACTAGAGAGTGACTCTGCAACCTTTTTGAACGTGTTTTCATCTGACCAGCTGGGTTAACTTACTGCTGATTAAAGAATTGATCTGCTTCTCTGGTGTTTCTCCCTGCTAAAGCCCCCCCCTCCTGAACATATTTGTGGAGTGCTCAGGGAACAGCTTGTTCTTGGCATGGTGTATCAGGATAAGTTATGACATTCAAACACTGTAGGAGAGATCCAGGAAAACAGCAGAGGCAGTGGACTGGACTTACAACTCTGAATAACTTAACATTTTAGTTCATGTAGTCTAGAAGCCTCTAGAAATGATAGAAACCTAGAGCAAATGCCAAAAAATTGATTTATTGCCTTAGTCCAACTGAAACTGAGACTTTTAAATGTATGTCAGCACATTAGTTGGTCTGAAATCACACTAAATCAATCTTCTCATAGTGGGACCAACAGGGCTCGATAATGCTGGTGGGGATGGATTTTCTCAGTCATGTATGCAGCTCAATCAAACTGAATCTGGCCTAAACGTTCTGCCCATGCTCCAGTGTTGACCAGCTGGGCTCTGAGCTGCTGGTTGAATCACAGGAATGTGCTGCTACGAATTGAGGTAGCCAACAAAACCATGACAAATGGAGAAAAAACATGAAAAAAGCCAAACTTTGGTAAAGTTCTACGAACAGATGGTAAACATTATAAAAGCGATGGTGTTGTCGATGTTTGGCGTACATCACTTTAGCCTCTTGCTAACACGCTTTGTAGAAGATTTGATATATGATATGCCAACTGGGAGACAACCTGATATTAACGAACTGAAAGGAGGCATGTTGGCATCTACTGTAGCAGAGGCCGACATGCTTCAGTCTGTAAACTGGGGCAAGGACAGTAATCCAGTAAAATTTACGACTCAAGCTATGGCCGTAGCTCAACTAAACTATATGTAACTGAATGAAAGTGCATCAGGCGCTTCCTCATAGTCCTGACCATCTCTGTTAAATCCTAGCTCCACTAAAGCTCAGGAAATTTGGTGACAAACACATTTCACTCTTTCCAATAAAGGCTCTCACTAATTTTTATTAAAAGAAAAAAAAAATCTTTATTCTGACACAGCCATCAAAGAAAGTGACAGTTTTTTTTTTTTAGAAGTAACACAACACAGTCAGGGGAAACTACAATTATTATAATAAAACCACAAAGAACTACAATGCCATTCTAAACACACTGTAGCTCATAAAAGCATCTTTCTTTGCTCTCAGGCACAGACACAAGTTGAGTTTCTGTATCATCGCTCTGTTTTGGGGGGGTGCTTCCATGACTTAAAGCTTCTCTGAGGAACTCTGGGTTCGTGTCAACTTTGGCGCCCCCTGTAAACAAAACAGTCCTTGCTTATTTTGTCCTCTACATGCTAAAACAGTGTCCTCTCACAAAAATCTCACCCTGCTGAATTGGACAATCAAGTGTATCACTTATTAAGGACATTTTGTGTGTTTCTTTAGCTGCGCAACTAACGCCTACCCCCTCATGTCTGTTTCAGACTATAAAAAAAAAAAAACATGAATGCTGTCAGTCTTGTTGCTGATGGTCTTGGTTGCTTTTGGATATCAGAAAAAGATAGGGATGTCAACAAAAAAAACACACGGGAGCTTAATCTCTGAGTTCAGTAGAAAATTATCTGCCGAGCAGAAAAGGGCTTTTTTCAAACCAAACTGAAATGAAACTTCAAAAGAGCAAAATTCAAATCTGAAAGCAATATTTTTACACCTTTTACTGACTTAATGAATGATCATAACTCCCTCAACCGCACAGTAATGAGTCTTTTGTGGATTAGTGTCTCTCATTGGCTTTAACATTCCTCTCTAAATGACACACCACTTAATCACTGTTTAATGTCTT